CCCCCCCCCCCCCCCGGATGCCCCTTCCTCTGGAGGACGCGTCATCAATGGCTACAGCTATGGCATGCGAAACAGTAGGACCCCCCCCCCACACTCCCCCTTCTTGTGCGGTGCTGACGATGAAATGCTGTATGTTTCCTTGCTTGAAAGAGCACGACTGGGGAGAGCTGGCCGTTCTTTCGACGAACTTACATGAAGGCAGTCTATATATACTATGCCAAACGTGAGGCGGTATCCCCCCGTCGAAAATGGCGGAGAGGTTGAATTGGCAGCGCGTCGATTTCGAGTACCAGCGGGAAATAGAGGCAGTCCTTCTCCTCGCAAGGGGTGCCAGGTCAGGTCAATGGTCTACGTGATCCGACAGCTGAGCGCCCTATTGAACCCTCGAACCGTTTCCATATCCTGGGCACTTTTTTATCGCGGCGTTGCCCCGCTGGATACTTGTCCTCAAACGAGGGAAGGAGGGTAACGATTCAACATCACCGCCACCGCTGCTTGTAAGAGCTGGCTTGCAAGGCTCTCTACTCACGACTTTTTCTTTTTTTTTTTCTCGACGAAATTCTTGCAGCAACTTCTAGGTTTTCGATAAACTACATAAGACAACCAGTTTTTTTCTTTTCTTTTTTTTGCATGGGGTACATACAGCAAGCAGTATGTTTCCTTTCGTTCTTGTTTACGTGTATTTTTTGTGGAAGCAGACTCCACTGGCAGCAAATCCGTGGGAAAAGTTCCAAGACGCCAAGTTCGGGGCACACCCGAAGCACCTCCCGTCGGGGAGAACGAAAGAGTCCAAGTCTCCCTCCAGAAAACACCGCCCGCCCAGCATGGTGAGTTCTTGGTTTTTGTTGTTATCCTACACCATTCCGCTGCAGGGACCCTGTTTGTCCTGGGGCGCGCGCGCCAAATAGTTTCTGTCATGGCGGTACGTAGACACAACCGTCCTCGTCTGGTTCTGTTTTGATCATGGTGCCCTTGCAAGAATATTGCGGTTAGAGCATCTTTCTTACCGCGAAGCCGGCGCCGTCCCGCTGTTTTTGTGATTTTTCCTAAATTGCTTTGCGACTTCTTGTTGTCCCGTTCGTCCGCCGAACGATGTGCGGCACAAAACACATTTTCGAACCATTTGATGGGCCCTATTCCCTGACCCTCAATAACACCAATATCATCTAGGCATGCGAATTGGTAGGCGCCCTATCCAAGAACAACTATCCAACTTGACCATGAAGCTTTTCACCGCGTTGACACGGTAGTTTCACACCATTTGTGGTGTAAAACCTTCCCTTTTATGCCGTACCTTTTGTTATTGTTTCGTCGACCCCCCCCTCTCTGAACCGCTGCGCACCAAAAACCATCAAATCCCGGGCGTGTGTTTCCCCTCCCCTTCTAAATAACGACAAAACAAAAGCGATCCGAATGTTCGGACCTCGGGGATGGCCTGCTGAGGGGCAAGGTAACGCGAGAGATCCTCCAGAAGGCCTTCGGGCCGGCGCTCCTGGCTCTCCTCGAGGAGTTCGCCAAGCAGGAGCAATCGCGCCACTCGTCGTCGTCCAAGAGGAGAGGCGGGGGCGAGGAGAAGAGGGACGAAGGAAGCCCGGAAGACGCGCGGGGGATCACCCTGGATGATCTCGCCGGCACCGACACTGAAGGCGGAAAGCTTCAGGTGCGCTCGCTCCTCGTGTGTCTATACTTGTCTGCTGTTGCTGTTGTTGGTGGTGGTGATGGGTGTCCTGCTGCTGCTGCTGCTGCTGCTTGTTTTGCTTGTTCTTGTTTGGAGAAGAAGCGGCGTTGTGCGTGTGCGCGTTGTGTTGTTTTTTTCTTTCCCACAGGACTACTGTAGGCGTGTTCTGTGCGTTCTTCGATACGGCCATCGATAGCTTGGCAACGTGAACGCGAGGTTTTTGAAGCGGAGACGGGACCGATGCCTGTCGCTGGCACAGGGCGTCCGTTGCCAAAAACAAGACGCTCCTGACCATCCATGTCAAACGTATAGTTTTCCAATACAACGATGCAGTCCAATTTGGTGCGTTGTGCTACATGCCCCCCCCCCCCCCCCCCCCCCCC